ATTACAGAGCTACTGTGTTGGACATTCTCAAAATAAAAGTGAGGACCACGAAGCCAAGTTGAGGCTTCAAAAGACAGCACTCAAACTAGCCAGCATTAGAGTATTAATGCACACACCAAGCTTACCTGTGAGAACACACCCTAGATGTGGATGGGACCACTGCAGGAGTAGTGCAACTACAACAGTCCGTTACACCATGGATTTCCTTGCTATGCACAATCACATGTAGCCACTGAAAATTTTCCCTTCCTGCACTATTTGCTCATCCTACAAAGCTGAGATTTCTTTCCTGATTTAAAGTGCTCGGTAATGTATAGTAATGAAGTATCAGTCAAGCAGTTCTAACTCAGCCAACTTGGGAAAACCAAACACAAAAGCCCAATAGCTATGCCAAACACTCTGGTTTTCTCAAACTGAGAAACGTGTTATACATCTATTTCCTAATTATATAATATACAACATGCACGCGTAGACTGCACAGATAGACACTTATAAAATACCTTCTAAGTAAGTAAGTAGAGAAGTTTTTGGTCCAATCTACATGACAGACAAATCCTAAGAGACAGTAAACATCCCCTTCCATGCCTCTTCACCCGAAATACATAAATCCCCTTTCAGATTTGCAGAGGAAAGGAATAAATAGAACTCTGTTCTCTCTACATACATATACATTTATGTATACATATGCGCGCGCGCACACACACACACACACAGCCAGATACTACCTGAATAACATACCAGGAGGCTCTGAACACCTGAACTGACATGATCAGGTGAGCTGATTGTAAAACTGATTACAGATAGATAACACGAATATTGTTTTGTTTGTGGCTACCAGTCTCTGGAGAGCTTGGTGTTCTGGTCTCTTTTGGGGGGAGCGGGAGGGGGTCCTCTCCGCAAGGTTGCATAGCCTGATATATGACTGCCCCCGTAGCCGGCCTTCTGTTGATCAGAGAGCAGTTCGGGGGGTGGTGGAGGCAAGGCCATGTCATCCATGGTGGCTGTAGGTTCGGCCCTGGACATGCGTGAGGAGGACAGTGAGCCGTGCCGGGTGATGGACTTCCGTTGTAGGGTCCTGTTAAGGTCAGCCAGGAATCCAGGCTGGACGCTAAGGCTGGACTTCGGAGAAGTGGGCACTTGTGGCACAACGGTGGCCATTGCTGGCTGCTCAGAGAGCTCTGCTTGAGTGAGGCGGGTACTGTCGTTGCGCTTGGGTCGCGTGGGCGGTGGGGCCTTCTTTACGGACGTTTTACACCACAGCTGTGGCTGGGGGCTAACAACTGCCACTTTGGGGGAAGCGTTTGCTGAAAATACCGGCGGGATCTCGATGGGGGGCAGAGGAAGTTCTGTTTCAGGTGGAGGGGGTGGAAAGTCAGAATCGGACGGTGGAGAGGGGAATTCCGCCGAGTCCTTCCGGCGCCCGCTCAGCACGGCGGGCTTGGCCGGCGCTGCCCCGGGGAGTGCGCTGGCGAAGCCGGCTCCGGACAGCTGCAGCTTCCCGGGCTTGGGCGGCGCTGCGGGCGGCGGCAGGGCCTCCTCGGCCGGCGGGGCGAACCTGCTTACCAGGCTGTCCACCGAGGGCCTCTTGGGCTCAGGCTGCTCACCGCCACCGCCGCCACCCCCAGACTTGATGCTGGAGTTGCGCTGCGGCGTGGGGGGCGGCTTCTTTCCCCCCGGGCTGGACATCTGACCGGGCTTTTTGCCCGGAGACCCCCCTTTATCGGCAGCAGGGGCTGGGGGTG